AAGAAGAAATCACAGTAAACACAAGAATCCTTTTATATAATATGAACAACCTTATAGTTTACATAATAGATGTCATTATTCACTGAAAATGTATTTCCCAATGAGAGAACAAATAAAAATATTGTAAGTAGAAAAATAATTATTTTCCAACAAGCACAAATTGTCATTCAAATTTACAATAAATGCATTTCTCAGTAAAACAGTTTATCAATGGATGCTCATTCACAATAAAAGTTACGCACCCAGATAGAATTGTCTGATTACTGTAAAACTAGGTACACAACTATGTCTCAGACAGGTATATAAATGTGTACAGTGTGGTCCAATTGCATGCAAGGTACCACCACAGTACTTTAAAATCACTACCCCAGCTAGCTTATAAAAAGGCTCACTATTTTCACAATTTTCTATGTGTTTGTTGTTCAGAGGTCTTAAAATGCCAGACATGCTTATATGACACAGCACAGTCAAAGACATTATGTATGGCTGACAGAGTTTGAGATAATTCACTCATTGAGCCAAGGAAAGTAGACTGGCCATTTTACGAAATTCATTTCATATGAAATCAGTTCTTTCTAATAGTGATGTGACAGTATTGTATTCAGGAAATTCTGCAACCTTATGTGTTACCTTTCATGACAAGGCTGCAAACAGCCATTTACCAACAAGATAATTCTTGGCCACACAAAACTTTGGTTTCCCAGGAACGTCTCCACCACATTGCCAACTTTCCTTGACTTTCTCGGCTGCATATTTGTTACCTGTCAAACATTTGCAGGACCAGAAGGACTCCAGCTTCAGCCACAAGTGTAAGGTATCTGAAATGTTGGTTGCAACATAAGTGGAAAAATCTGTTGCAAATTAGCATAGATGCCTACATACCTCTATACCCAATTACATCACCACAGTATCTAAAGCAAGAAGAGGTCCCGAAAAGTACTAAGAGTTTATTAAATTGTACCATTATTCCACAAGAAATTGTCTCTTTGCTATGATATTGTAATCATTTATTACTATCAACATTATATTTGCACTAATAAAGCTTCATTTAATTCCAATGTCTCCTTCTTGGTGCATAGTATGTTTCATTAATGAGTGTATTTAACATAAATCAAAAATATAGAGTTTTAGAGAATGGAAAGGAATCTCAAAAATAAAATACTAGAAAATTTCTAAATTACTAAAAAAAGTTACTAGAAATGTTAAACAGTTAAATTAAAGTAATAATATTTTAATTATTTTAAAATTATTAAACAATTTTAATTCAATACTCAAATCTTTTTTAAATAGAGCAAAATCAGAATTTTAATTTGTACACTCATCCCTCATTTTAACAGATAAAAAGGAGTAACACTGGTCCAATGTTGCCAATTGTCTGTAAGTTCCGAAACTAAGTCTGTAGTGGTTAATATCCACAATTATATTACAAAAGAAAGAGGAATTGACCTTTTTCTGGTTTTCTACTCTTCCTCCTAAAGGCACAGTAAAGAAAATTATGAAAAATAAGAACAAATGAACACACAAACAAGACAAAACCATGAAGCAATAAGAAGCACATATGGTTCCACTCATGCAAACAAAGTGAGGGTTCACCAACTAGTGGTCAGCTACCAAAATAGCAGCTTATATCCAGTGTTGCCACAATTCCATCCATGGAGAGTGGGACTTTCAAACTGAATTGTCTGCTCCAGATTTTGTCCATTGCTTCCGATATCTATCAAAAAGTGGTCCATAAGATCGAGAGATGAGTGTAACTTAAAAATTACAATCAGCAAATAAACTGAATATTAAATAATAGATGCGTATTTTAAAGAAAAAAACAGCTTTCCTTGCTAATAGCTTTCTTTTCAAAAAAGAACACCACAAACCACACACATTTTTTTGTGAGTTTTATAATTTCTTCTCATAACATTGCAACTATCACTTCTTATGTTGCAACTTGAGACATTTGCAACATAAGAACAAAACAAACTAATTTAAATTCAAAATAATAATCAATCTTATTCTTTTTATAAATACAGTAAGCATTAATAATGACAATATAGTAATTAACGAAATAAATGAAAATAATTTAAGTAGGAAAAATGAAAATGATAAACTGAAGATTATGTTGATGAAATTGTATATAACCTATTATATTTAAATGAATATTTTAACATATTTTATTCTTCATTGAACTACTAATATTAAAGGAGAGTTAAATAAATAAGACAGTTGATATTGCATATTGGAATACAATATAAGAAATTAATTATGGATGTGAAATACAATGCAGTAATGTAATCCTGTTACTATATATATATATCAAAATATTTGACTATAAATATTTCAATATAAAGTAGTATATATAAATAAAATACATACAAGCTTAATATATAGCTATAATAACAAAATTAGAAACAGAAATAAAGCATATGCTAAATGATACTGAATACATTCCATAATACACTAATTTACTTTCTAAATTGTTTGGAAAGAGAAGTTATGAAAATTATAATAAAAAATGTCCAGGGATTTAAATGAGAAGTCTAAAATGTTTATTTAATAGGTTCAATAGTATATTGAACAGAAAATATGAAATATTATATTGATTCCAGTTGATAGATAGAACAGTAATAATTGTAAAATCAGTACCTTTTATGAATATTTCAGAAAGAATGAATTAAGACATGTAAAATGTAGATTTGTCTTAATCAATTTTTTCTGAAATACTCGTAGAAAATACTTTTACATTTTGACCATTTACAAGTTCAGATAACAAAACTATATTATTAAGGAATAATGACAGGATACTTCATGAAAAGACTTATTGATAGCAATTTCATTCTCAGTAGTTGAAATGTATATTATTGTTTAAATATTTGATAAATACTTAATATGATTATGATCATTTCATAAATTCTGTGCTATAAAAAGAGAATGTATATAATGAAAACAACAAAAATAAAAAAATTTTATATCTAAGTATTTCTATTTACAAGTAAAAACTTTATATATGTTAGGTGTGGCATAATTTTTCTAAAAGCAAGTTACAAAATATTATCTACAGCAAGAAAAAAACAATAATAGATTTCTTATTTTTAAATAAAATTATAGTTTTTCTATAAAGCTACAACAGATATAATGTAATAGAAACAGTTTTTAAATTTCAAATATTTAACAATGCAGATAAAAAAATAATAATAAAGTAAACAATAAAAAATCTGCAAACATTGAAATTACAATAATGTGTTTTTCTTAATAAAATTTCAAATTTGCCAATATTATAAATAAAAAAATTTTTTATCTGAATTTATTTCACTATTCTGAGAGAAAAAATAAATAAACTGGCAACAGATTCAGTTTTTATTTCATAATTTAAATAATATTATAGTCTTTGACAGAAAGAATACATTAAAGATACTGAGATTTTTTTTTTCTTTTTTCCCCCCTCTTCCAATTTAAAATAAAATTTATTTTGTACATAAATTTATTCTATTTTTTTTTAAATTGTCTATTTAGTATTTAAATACATTTCTCCTGAATGATTTAAATTAAATTTTATATCAAATTTAAAAATTTTATCAGTATTTTTAATACAGTAGACTCATGATTATCTGGCTTAATGTGACAGACAGTCAAGCCAGATAACACAAGAGATTGAAGGTAAGGCATTTTCTACAAAGTCAAGCACATCATGCATCCCATGTGTAGTTTATTTTCCAGCTGTAATTTTTACAGTACACATGATAATGCTTTAATACAAAATTTTCATCAAAAGTAAGTTATTAAGATGCCTGCAATTACTATGTCACGTTATCTGTGGAATAAACATATGTTTTATGAAAATTTTCGCAATTTCATTTTTTCACAATATCATTACTTAATAATACTGTACTGTAATAAAAGTAAAAATAATTATATCTTTGTAAATAATATGTACTAAAAATTTTACAACATGGCTAAATGGGCTAGATAATCATGGGCTAGATGATTCTGAGTTTACTGTATCAAGGAAAGTTGAGATAACTAACATTTTTGTTTAATTATTTTAATTAGTTTCATGTTATTTTGATCTCAGAAAATAATAATTCAAATTTCATGATAGTACTGTAGTGATATGGGTGAATTGGACACAATGAATGGGAAGCAATACACAGGCAAACTACCTTTTTCATGAATACGTTAACAATAATATTTTATTTTCCTTTTACTTTGCCTTACAATACTCCTTTTAATCTCCCAACAATCATGACTCGCAAGGCCAGTGCATGAACAATTCATTCCAATTTCTTATAGTACTAATTAAAATTGACTTATCCTAAATTAACTCTAATATTAGTCAGAATAAAGAAGGGAGAAAAAAGAAATGGTCTTAGTATGGATCCCCTTATTCCCTTTTGGCGAGCTAGGCACTTAAGAGGTTGACCACAGTTAATAAAAAAAAAAAAAAAAAAAGTGACTTCGCTATGTAGTTCTCCTTATCGAGATGGGCAGTCCACACAACTCCTTTCGCAGTCTTCAAATCACAAAATATGAACATTAATCTTCTATGTCCCCACAGTGTAGATCTTCCTTCTGCTTCTTGTCTCACCATATGCCTTGCTACCTTCTCTTCTCGACTCTTGCCAAAAATTGTCATTATACTTGGTAGCATATGTTGATCCTCCCTTTTTCCCAAAACTCACCAAAGAACAGTTATTTTACAGTCAAAAGGATCAAACAATAGGAAAGGATAGAGTTAGTTGGACAGAGAGAGAGAATACATATAAATTATAAGTTTGTTAATTATAACATAAAATATACATTGTGGGACTCACCACAGTACTTTTTCAATTAATATAAATTGACAATTAAAATATTTTGTAGATAAATAACTATTTAAGATTTTAATTGAGATTATTCTTTTTAATATTTAACATTCTAGTAAATTGTAAAATTTTGTTGACTGTTAAATTTATTTTAAAATGATTTTAAATTATTATATTATAACTATTTTATAAAATACATAAAAAGATTACCAAATCTATCAGAAACAGGACCAGGAGAAGGAGTACTTGGAAACCTTTCTTGATATTCAGGCCTAGATGGGACAAGAGTTGGATCTAATTCATCATAACCAGCTGGCCGATGATTGTATTCTGTTTCTCCACTCCTAGGTACTTGTGGCATAGCTCGACGTGGTTGGGGAGATTCTGATGATGCTGAGGGTGGTGATGGAGGTTGTGCTGGATAACCATGATAATCATAATCAGGAAAAGTTTGTCCTATTCTTGGAGGATAAACTTCAAAGTTTGGTCTTGCACTAGGTGAAGTTGTTCTACCATATGTACTATAATCTGGTGGATAGATTCCTTGAGGAGGAGGAGGTGGGGGTTGTCCTCCTACACCTACACATTTGAAAAAATTATTTACATTAGTAAAATTAATAAAAACAATAATTCAAATAATAAACTTAGATAAGCCATTTATAATTAAACTTTTGTAAATATTAAAACATTTATAATAGTATTTCAATGTATGTAAAATTATTTATGTATTATAATTTTATAGTTAAAATTGGTTTTCAGTATGACAAATCATTAGTTTTTCTAGACAAGGAAAAATATTCTTGTATTTTTTTTTTTTACAACAAATACATAAAAATTTATAATGTAGGAAGTTTTTAAACATATTAGCAAGTACTTCATAAATATTCATTTCTACTTACTTATATAAAAATGTTAGTTTTCTACATTAAAAAATAGTGTTTTAATGATATTCCTATGTATTAATAGAATATCATAATGTATTAAATAAGCATGTATTTGATGGAAATATCTTAATCTGATAATTATTTAATGATAATATCATATTAACCAATTATATATATATTTTAATAATTACAACAATGGTAATTCATTTACAATGGTTTTGTTGCATGAGCAATACATAAATAAAAAAAATGTAAGTTTAAATTTAAAAGCTTAAATCATATCTAGATTATATATATATTAAGAATTAAAGATTTTGGCATACTGTACTTTAATGTATCCAAAACATCAATAATTTTAATTATTAGAATAATGTCATTATGTTATCATTAAATATTAAAATACAGTAATATCCACATGGTAATAAAAACACATGAATAATGAAATAAAACTGATATTTATTAAATATTAAATAGAAATAAAAATACATTATATATATATATATATATACATGGATNATGAATATGAGGATAAACATTTTAATCAGAACACTTCTGTCACAGGAAAAATAGTATCTAAATATGCTAACTGTTATTGCTGGAAATTCAAGAGTTCTTCTAAGTAAAATATAACAGAAAATTAACTAAAGTTGTGTTTTACAAAAGGCAAACTATGTGTTAACAGAAATATATAATTTTTTAAAATTATAATAGTGTCTTTTAAAAATTTTGTGTTCTTAATATTTCTGCATTAAATATTAATATTTGAATTTAGTTTAATAAAACTCATTATTAGATTCACTTAATACCATATCTGTGATATAAAATTAATTAATAAAAAACAATAAAATACTAATAATAAATTTTGTCATTAAAATCATGTTACATAATTAAATTTTTTGAAAAGAATCCATATAGCATATTAATAATAAAAATGTTTACCTTCTTTTATTTGCATTTTAAAAGTCATTGTTATGACAAATAATAACCATTTTCATTTTCTGAAAGTCTATAAGTATGCTCAATTTAGTATATTGCATTTGGAGATTTGTTCATGTGATTTTCAAAATTATATATACATATGCAATTCTCAAAACATTGTAGAATGTTTTATTTTCTGTTACAGAATGCAACATTTTACTGTATAAATTTAGAATTGATTGAAGATAGTTTAACAGGAAAAAATGAGTGCTTAATATTCAAATTTATATTTTATCTATACTGGCAATTATTTATTTGTATTATTGATTAAATTACCAAATTCATATCAAATGAATTTTAATTTATGCTTCATACTGCAGAAAGTAAATTAAGAATGTAAAATTTTTGCAATTAAAAATTTGAAATTATCTATCCACTGCTTTCTCAGCAAATAATTCACTTCAGTTTCACCAACACTTAATTTTGCTGAGCTTAAAATTCTCTTATTTTTACAAATGTTTTCAACCTATTTAATATAGGCCATCGTCAGGTTTAATATTATAAATGTTTCAAAATGGAACATACCATTTTCAAATATTTTACATTTTTAAAATTCAAAAAATAATTTAATTTAAAAATAAATTGAAAGTGTGTATATTAAATAAATAAAATAAATAATAAATAAACAAATAAATCGTAGTAAACAAAGCTAACTAGAAAGAAACATGATTTAAGGGTTTTTAAGTCTCATTCTTTTTTCTATTATATATTTCCATGCTGTTGGAAGTGCATTAGCATCCCTAGCATATAGGCAACAGTTTTTCATTTTTCTTTTAGAAATTTCCACCTTTTCTATCTCCAATACAATAGATGCAGAGTGCACTGCTTTAATGACTAGTTTATAAAAAATTTGTATGTTTTTTTATAAACTAGCACTAAATTAAAAATTTTTTAGCAATTGAGTTTGATCAAATAATGATTGATTGCATTTATTACTGAATTTGTTCAATGATTTAAAAGTTATTTACTTGGTTTTCATGTCAGTTGTTGAAGCAAGTTCTATTATCCAACAGCTATTAAAAAGTATTAATATTATTTTAATGGCTATTATTATTACAACAATTATCAATAAAATATTCATAACTTTTTTATAAAAAGGAAAAGATGAAATCAAATTTATTTCACAAAAGATTTTTAATTTACACTTTATCTAAATTTATATGGCAATTACATTGGTAAATAAAAATATGTGACAACGTCATAGTATTCCTGCATTTTCTGTAATGATAAACTGGAAAATGTGATTGAAATTCTCTAATAATGTTAGTTTTCATGTGATAGATATGATGTTTTAAAATATATAATATAATGTATAATATATAATTTTTAAATATGTAATAGTGCATACATGATAAGATAATATAAAGATTTTGTATATTATTGAGGAAGTATTTCTAGCATATTTGTGAAAACTTAAAAGCAATTGCTATTTTACTCAGCTTACATCTTGGGTATTTGAAGTATTATTGTTTTCTCTGAAAAGAATAATAGACCCAAAAAATGAATTATGTACAAAAAAGCAAAATAATAATCATTCATCTCAGGAAAGAATAACATATGTGGACTACTGGTTAATCCTTGAAAAGTTTATCTATTTGCATACAAATCAAGCTATCTGATGAAAACTTCTGTCACAACAATGGATTAAACTGTTGCTATATTTATATATTTGAAGTCTAAAAGTCTAAGTCTAAATCAAGCTGAGTGATGCTAAAATCAGAGGTATATTTAAACTCCTAAAATAAAGAAAGTTAATGAATGATAAACAATCTGTTGACTGAAGTGGAAACTCATGCATGTTAATCTTTCAAAAACTTTTTTGGGAAATATAAAACTATTACGAAATAGTGTACAATTTTAAAAGTCATATAAAGCATGGATTATAACATATTTCTAAAACTACATATTTTAGACTTTCCTGAGAATTTTGGTACTGGCAGTGATGAATATGAGGATAAACATTTTAATCAGAACACTTCTGTCACAGGAAAAATAGTATCTAAATATGCTAACTGTTATTGCTGGAAATTCAAGAGTTCTTCTAAGTAAAATATAACAGAAAATTAACTAAAGTTGTGTTTTACAAAAGGCAAACTATGTGTTAACAGAAATATATAATTTTTTAAAATTATAATAGTGTCTTTTAAAAATTTTGTGTTCTTAATATTTCTGCATTAAATATTAATATTTGAATTTAGTTTAATAAAACTCATTATTAGATTCACTTAATACCATATCTGTGATATAAAATCAGTCACAATAGAGTTTTCAATGTTATTAGTAACTCATATATACACAGATGAACTTGCATATTATAATCTTGCCTAATGGCAATAATTGCTTTATCAAAATTTTTCAAAATCCATTATATATTTGTCATTTTATATATAAATAATGTAAATTTAACTAGTTAATATTTTGTTTAATATTCAGATTTCACTTTACATCATAAAATTATTTTGACTTTTTGTTTCTGGTTTCTGATAATTACCATTAATACAGCAAAAATTTTTGCATTTTTTCATTTTACTAAATTTAAAAATATATCCCACATAAGATTATAAGTCATATGACCAAATTAGCACATGGAATTGAATGGGTCATAATGCAAGTCAAACTAAGGTTAGAGTTGATTATGTATGTATGGCAAATGTCTTTCTTTTCTGTTTTATCTTTGTAATTAGATCTTTTCATTAAATGTTAAGTATAAAACTTGACCACTTTGAATATATTTGATATGACTACAACATTTGAAAAAATCTGATAGTAAAAACCAAAAACATACTAAATTAAGTGTAATAAAGAAGTTGGATATCATTGATTCTTGTGATGGACCTCCTAAACAAACATTTTCCACTGTCACAAAAATATTTTCTGTTGATCCATCAACTGTAAGCAAGATTTACAAATCTAAACAACAACTTTGCGAAATAGCTATTTCAAGCTAAGCTAATATAAAAAAGACAATATCATAATAAGATAGATGTTGATACTGTATTACATCAATGGTTTGTTAGGGATATGGCAACTAATATTCCAATTGGTGGTAAGATTTTACATGTGAAAGCACAAAAGTTTAAATATTCTACGAACATTTTTGTCAAATGTAAAAAGCAAGGTTAACAACATTTTACCCAGTTGGAATGGCAAATGCAGTATAAAATTTTAAAAAATGCAATTAAAACAAGGCTAATAACACTTGACAAATGGTTGTAAAAATTTTTTTTAAAAATTACTTTGATATAAAGCTATTATAGTACTATAAAAAAAATCAAAAAAATTTCAGTTTTTATCATCAGTTGTGATATTAAGCAAAATTTGTTTAATGCCACAGACCAGATAATACCATACTTTGTGGATGTGACTTTAAGTGTATTGGCTAAAAACTGACATATTTTTAATTGTTTATTTTAATTACTAAGTAAAAATTTTGTATATTTTACATTAATAAAAAATTCTGTTATAAAGGATAGTGCTAGAGTGGATTGATATTGAAACAATACTTAAAATATTTATTTTTATGTAATAAAAAGTTTTCAGTACTTTTAGGTTTGGTAAATAAAAATATGTGACAACGTCATAGTATTCCTGCATTTTCTGTAATGATAAACTGGAAAATGTGATTGAAATTCTCTAATAATGTTAGTTTTCATGTGATAGATATGATGTTTTAAAATATATAATATAATGTATAATATATAATTTTTAAATNTTTTTTTTGATTTCCTTATATAATTTTATTTCATGAGCAAATTTTAAATATATGCAATTAATTTTGAATTAGCTAAACAATAAGATGACAAAACGGAAATATTTAAACATAAAATAAAAATTCACACACATGCAAAGAAAATGGCTTATTATAATTAAAGCTAAATTTTATAAGCTACATAAACATTATAAAAATTAAATTTGTATTTAATAAAAAGAAAAAAAAACAATCAGGCAATCCAAAAATTGTACCTACATGTAATGATGGATTATTTCTGAACCACGATCTGAATAGTATCGCCTAAATAAAAGAAATAAGAAATCTGCAAATGAACAAAGTCAAATCTGCTTTGCTCCTTACACTATTATCTGGTGCAATCATCATTCAACTACTAATAACAAATTGAAATGAACTAAAGGCAGCAAATTAATTTTTGTACTGCAAATATATGATAAAATATAATACTACTTAATCTATACTTTGCAAACTGCAGCATTCCAACTACCAAATTAATTTTCATAAATTTTATATAATGAATAAAAGATCTTTATGAAATAAACATAAAAAAAAAAACGTTTTAATTACAGATGACATTCATATTTATTTTTAAATATGTTCAAAGTATTTTTTATTAAATAGCAAAAAAAATACAGTGGAAAGTTGATTATCCAAAACAGTTTTCAAAAAAGAAAAAAACCAAAACATGTAGCACTGTACATAATTTAACACAGAATATAATACACAGAGACCAAATTCTCCATGTAACTGGAAATCACATCATCATCTGCTGATTGTAGTGCCTCAAAAGTAGGTCATATTTAAAATTGCATTCGATTTTGAGTAAATTAATTTATTTTCAAATACAGTAATTGCATTACAGTATTTATTTTCATGAAAAACTTTAAATACATAGTGCCTGATGTTGTACTCAAAATATAAAAAACAAATGAGTTTCTGGATTATCCAAAATTTTGTTTATCCAAAAGATCCTGGTCCCATCAAGTTCAGATAATCGATTTTCTACTGTATATACATATATTTATTTTTCATTTGAATTTTATGTATTTTCATTCTTATATATAATATAGTTTCTAAATTCATAGTAATCTCATAATCTAAATAAATAAATAAATATGTTTATTTATTTATAATGTAAATATTTATATCACTTACTTATGTAAATATGTATATTAAATATATATGATATTTTTATAAATATTATATATATAATATTTATACTAGAGCAGTAATGGTGAACCTGTGATCCATGTGGCAATTTCAAGGTAACCCACATTGAAAGTTTAGAAACTATTAGGTTTTTATAAATTATAAGACAATATTTGATAAATTTCAAAACTTTACATATGTAATGTGAATGCAAGATCCTAAAGCTGCTGTGAAAAATCACAAAGGCCACTAATTACAAACCTCAAATAGAAAAAAATATCATCACAGAAGATTTCCCATTAAATGAAATATTTCCATTATACTTACATTTATTATTTTATTTTCACTTATGTACTGTTATTTTTCTGATAAATATTAAAAAGTGAATAAAAATATTGATAAATCTTGTTTAACTAGTTTTAACTAACTCACATTAAATATCTGACCAGAAATTTGGAGTTGATAAATTTCTAATTCAATTTGATCCACCTTTAGAAAAACATTTGCCATCACTGTACAAGAGTATTTACTTAGAAATAGCAGAGGATTATAAGAGATTTGCTCTCTTAAATGCAATCCATAAAAAGGTGAATGTTAAACTTCTTAAAGAGAAATGACAAGAATCTTTGTTTTTGTTTTAATTTATTGATGAAATTCTATCCAGTTCCATTTACAAAAATTAATGTACTCATATTACAGTAAATTGATTCCTTTATTAAACAACATAGACTTTCACAGTTGCCTACATACAACTGCTTATCCTAGCTTCCAACTGAACATAATTTTTGCAACATATAATTACGAAATTAAAGTTTCTTTTATCCTACAGGCAACAATATGCTAAAAGTAAACAGTGAAAACATTTATTTTGGACATGACATACACCCAATTATAAAAATGGAAGTGCCAGACTCATGAACTAGGTTGGTGGATACATGGCACTCCTGGCCATCTATTCCTATGTTTATGCATATCTATTACTTTATATTAAATTTGAAAAAATAAATAAATGTAAAACTCCTAAATTTATCATTTTAATTGCTCTACACAATGTATAATAACAAAGTTTAAAATCAAAACAAAAGTACAGTAATTTAAGTTAACATGAATTTTACCTGAATTATAAGTATTGTAGTCATGTGGAACATTTGCAGGAACAGTGTAACCATAAGTACCATATCCACTGCTTGTGGAAGGTGGTAAAGGTGGAGCAGCACTATAAGGAGGATATTCAACAGCTTGTCCTTCGGGGCCAATATGGCGAGGTGGAATAATTTTTGGAACTGTCTTCATTGGCTAAGAATTTCAAAAAATAATTTCACTTAGAACTGTTATTGAACATATTTCAATTACAAATAAAATGTAATCTAAACCAAACTTCTGACAATTATAAACTAACATTGTTCTAATATTTATAATTTATAATAATAATAATAATTTTTAATTAATTTATAATGTTTAAAAAAATAAAATAATCTTAATTACGTAATCTTGATTAAAGTAAATTTTTTGCATTTTTTTCAACTAATACTGTTTTAGAATTAATTTTGTTTTAATTAAATTTACTGTAATTTATTTAAATTTAATTCTATTATGTTTAAGTAAAAGATACAATAATCTAATTAATTAAACACCAATATTTTGAAAAAATAATTGCAATAATGAAAGAGAAAAAAAAAAGACAAAATGAACTAAATGAGTTATTTAAATGATATAATAATATAAATTTGAAATAAGTTTCCATTTTTTTCTTGTTTAATGATATGAAAACACAGAATACCTATACACAAATAATAATTTACATAGAGTTGTTATCTCTCTTTTATAAATGTATAGTATTGTTTAATTTTTATAGTTATTAAGAGAAATTTATTTAAGTGCAATATCATAAACCATTGTAAATACAGCTTCCTCTCTTAATAATTTTCCCATTAAAAACTGGCAAACATACATATCAGAAGAAAGATTTAAATTTATGAGGTAGAAAATAAAAATCAACATCTTAAACTGTGTCATTATACTGGTAAAGATTTAAAATTATATTTTGAATTAGTAATATTTTGTCTAAAGAAAAATATTAAGAATTCTATAAATAATGATAATGGTGTAAATAGATATTAATTGTATATAAATTAATACAAAAAATTTGTGAGTTTTTCAAATCATATTTATGAATATTTTATCAATATCTTTACTTAGTAATTACAAACAAAATAATTGGATTGTATTTACATATTTCTACTAATAGTTTTTTTTTTGTTAACTTATTATAACAAAAAATTATTTTACACTATATTAGTAAAAATATAAAAAATATTTTATTATTACATGTTTAAATATTTGATTAATAAAAATAATATAATTTTGCTTGCAAAATGATAGATCATTTTTCCTACTACATCACAAATTAAATGTTAAATAACAATAGATTTCAGAATAACACATAATAGACTGCACTTTTCTTAATGTAAATTGTAATGTAATTACAGATTATATTCAAAAACAAACTTACTTTTGTCGTGATTGAATATATAATTTTATAATGTAATGAGCAAATAATTATGCATGTTTTCAATAACAATATATGTATACTTTAAAGTATGCTTCTGAATAATGTTATAAAGCTATCCTAAGCACGCATATCAAATAGTGTGGAATGATTAGTTTGTGATTATTGCTTTCTAGTTTGATTGATTACTTTGGAATAATTATATTCTACTTTAATGACAAACTTCCTAATACTATCATATTTTTAAATGTAATACAGACCACAATGTACATAAATTTCAGATATATTTCTCTTGTCACTGACGTAATTGACAATTCAAGTTCCAAAATCTTATCATTACTTAAATATTCATTTTTGTTATATTTTAGTTTTGTCATTTAAATTTTATCATTTTAACAGTATATGTAAATCACTAAAATGCACAAACTTTTAGTGTTCAAAGTATTTTTTATTAAATAGCAAAAAAAATACAGTGGAAAGTTGATTATCCAAAACAGTTTTCAAAAAAGAAAAAAACCAAAACATGTAGCACTGTACATAATTTAACACAGAATATAATACACAGAGACCAAATTCTCCATGTAACTGGAAATCACATCATCATCTGCTGATTGTAGTGCCTCAAAAGTAGGTCATATTTAAAATTGCATTCGATTTTGAGTAAATTAATTTATTTTCAAATACAGTAATTGCATTACAGTATTTATTTTCATGAAAAACTTTAAATACATAGTGCCTGATGTTGTACTCAAAATATAAAAAACAAATGAGTTTCTGGATTATCCAAAATTTTGTTTATCCAAAAGATCCTGGTCCCATCAAGTTCAGATAATCGATTTTCTACTGTATATACATATATTTATTTTTCATTTGAATTTTATGTATTTTCATTCTTATATATAATATAGTTTCTAAATTCATAGTAATCTCATAATCTAAATAAATAAATAAATATGTTTATTTATTTATAATGTAAATATTTATATCACTTACTTATGTAAATATGTATATTAAATATATATGATATTTTTATAAATATTATATATATAATATTTATACTAGAGCAGTAATGGTGAACCTGTGATCCATGTGGCAATTTCAAGGTAACCCACATTGAAAGTTTAGAAACTATTAGGTTTTTATAAATTATAAGACAATATTTGATAAATTTCAAAACTTTACATATGTAATGTGAATGCAAGATCCTAAAGCTGCTGTGAAAAATCACAAAGGCCACTAATTACAAACCTCAAATAGAAAAAAATATCATCACAGAAGATTTCCCATTAAATGAAATATTTCCATTATACTTACATTTATTATTTTATTTTCACTTATGTACTGTTATTTTTCTGATAAATATTAAAAAGTGAATAAAAATATTGATAAATCTTGTTTAACTAGTTTTAACTAACTCACATTAAATATCTGACCAGAAATTTGGAGTTGATAAATTTNTTTTATCTAATATTTATATTCAATTCTTTCCTTAACTTCTTTTGTATTTTAGATTTTCCATTTTTAGTTTTTGTTAGATTCTGATGATAGAAGGTAATAAGTACAGTATACATTTTAAGTTCCTTACATATCTCCTGGGAATTTGCATAAAATTTGTTATTTATTTATATTTCATCAACATTATAATGCATATTTTCAATGCATTCTCCTTTAAGAATTATACATTTTTATCAATACCAAAAACTTTTCAAATAAGTTTTCTAGATTGCCTTTTATCTATTTATTTATAGTACCTTTTATCTCATTAAAAGAGTAAAACAGGTATTTCTCACAATAAAGTTTTTCATTTTGAAAACCAACTGAAGTCATTGAATGTTAAGTCAAGCAAATACTAAAGCTGCAGCAGCAATTCCATTGTAAATTAGCTAAATGTAATTCATTTGATTTATACATAGCCTTGCATTATTGTATTATTGTAAAGGTCAATTGTGCAGCTTTCCTAGTTATTTCTTGATAAGTGAATAATATAAATGGTTCAGCAAACAGGTCAGAATAACATTGACAATTATTCAAAAAAATCCTCTTGAAGATTATCCAAAAAGTAGTGGTTTGAGGAGTAAAATGCAAAAAGAATAAAATCTCTATGAATTTATAAAATACTTATTCAAAAATAAAGCAAATAGAATTGAATTAATTTTAATAATGCAAGATCAATAACAAAAAATCAACATTGTTTACTAAAAACTATAGACAGCATAACTGTACTCATAAAATTACAATAAATTACCTACTGTTTATCAAAATTAAGAAAAATTAATCAAACAATTTAAATTTTTACTTAGAATAAAACTGTAGTTTTTAGAATATAAAATTATACCAAAATTTGATTGTAATAAATTTTTAATATTTAACTCTGAGAAATATTTTTATCTATACATTAATATATTATTTTATTGACATTAAGAACTTATTATAATTATCAATAAGAATGAACAGATATTTTTATGATTTTTATTTGCTTTATGTTCACAATTTATCAATCAGATCTTCATAAAAATGACATTAAAATAAATTCTAATTAATTATGAAGTTATTAATTGTAAAAATTAAAAATAAACATTTTTATTGTGGAAATAGATATAATTTGTTACACATTTCATGTTGTTCTAATAATCATGTACTGTACAAAGATTTATAAATGGTAATTATAAATTATGTGAATTAATAAAACTTTTTTGATTTTTTATATTCTATTTAATCTATAATTACAATCATATTTTGTTTTTTCTTTGTTTATTTGAATAATAATAATTATTGATTTGCCACTATTTATTAGTGTCAAAACTACAGTATTGAAACCATATAAAAATATTAAAAGATAATAAGTAGATTATTTCTTATATAAATCATTGTTAGTAACTTTTATATACCTGCTGTGTTTTTGGCTGTGGGGTGGTGCGATTGATCAATGTGGCATTTTCGCCTGGCACTGACAACTGGGAAGATGTAGGAGAGATGTTGCCATCTCCATGGTGACCATTGGTGGGTGTGGCAGTTGGCTGGTAGCCAACACCATAAGTCTCTTGTGTAGGAGGCTGAATTCCTTCCTGACTATAATATGCATCTGTATATGGACTGTGAAATCAAAAAAAAATAGTAAAAACTGTTAAAATATTTTAAAATACACTTTAATCCAGTTAATATTCAACCCCTGTGTAAGTCAAAATAAGTTTATTGATTATGAGTATGTTTAAAATTTTAAACATTGTATTATTTCCTGATAAAATATGTAATAAAGTAGCTTGCTGTTTAATTCAGACATTTCTGGATATTACAAGACATTCAATATTTAATTAAAAACAAATTTTATAGAAGATTAAAGAAATAGTTTAAGTTATGAATTATTTATAGGAGAAGCATTATGATGATAAAATAGTATTCAATGAATCTAGTTAGCTTATAAATTAAATTAAAAATATATTACAATTGGTTAAATTTTAAATTATATAATTAATATACAAAAAAAATTAAAATTATAAATACAGTACTAAACTACAAAAAATATATCAAAAAATAATTTTGAAATAAACTCTTTCTAAACAGTACAGCAATAATTCATAATAGTTTACATTAGTAAAAGAAAGGATAATTTCAAAAAATTTATACTGTTAACTTCAATTAAATCTAATTTCAAATTAATTAGTTCATATATAGTTTTAAAATTCATAACAAAGGAAATTATAGATGATCAGATTTTTCTAAAATTATATATTAAATAAAATATATTAAATAGTACTTTAATTTTGATAGTATAATTATCTATTTATTTAGTTAAATATCATTCTATTATTCTATGATAAGGTTGTACAATATCCATTTTTAGTTTTTTAAGTTAAAAAACAAACAAAAATTTTCATAAACAATTTTAAGATGTACTAGATATGATATAAGCTAAATAATAAATTTTTGAGTTTGCAAAAACTATTGTTAACATTCTTCAATTAAAAGCAGAAAAATATTGTATATTACAATAAGTAATAATAGACATTCAGTAAATCAGAATGCAAGTACAGTATAGTAAATACTCAATTTAATGGATTAATTGGAGGAAATGGATTCTGCTATTGCTAAAAATCTATTAAATTGAATGTGTTTTAAAAACATATATTAATAACAAACTTGAAATGTGCAAGATGTGTTAAAATGTTATTATGATGCCTAAGTATGAATAAAATATTATTTCCAATACATTGAATAATTTACACTCTGACTCATTGTTCCAACTTTTTAGTATCACTATTTGTGAATAAAAATGATTTTAAATGTTTCCTACAGGACCAATTTTTGCCCATTAAATTGGAAACTGTTAATTCAAGGGTTTACTCTAATTCAAAACATATTTTTCCATATGGTAAATTTTGATTCCTTTTATTTTGTTGCTACATGAATATCATGACAATTCAACTGTTAACTATTTATTACAGAATTACATTAAATGATATTTTTTATATTTAAACTTTAAGAAGTAATTATATTTCTATCAATATTTTTACTGTTTCTTTTAATTTGATTATATCATTTATCCATCTGTTTGACAGCTTGACTGCTTATAAATAAAATTAAATTAATTACTGTTACAAAAATATATCAACAATCATAAGCTTTTCAAATTTTTATTAAATTCTATTTTCAATTATTAGTTTCAATTTTGTGGATTAATTTTTAATGTAAACCTTTAATATCTAACAATACAAAAATTTTTATTTTATTAAGTTAATAATGGTATGTAATCAACTATAAAAACTTGATATTGTGAAGCCATTCTTATAATTTCTATTATTGTTATTAATATGTATCATAAAGTTCTTACTTAACTGTATAAGATAATGAAGAAATTTTAATGTCTATGAAAATAATTGTAAGATTAAATTTTTATTTAAAAATTTGTAATTATTTTAATAAAATTTTGAAATTTCAAATATCGTAATTACTTTGTTAAAAATTTTTGCAGATGTTGCATTTAAATATTTAACCAAATTTGAATATTATAAGATGATTTGGAAATATCAATTTCTCCTAAATTAAATAACAATGAAATTCTATTAAAAACCTTTTCAAAATTTAAATATTAAATTGTATTCCTATTAAAATTTACTATACTACTATTAAAAAAGAAAATTTTTGCTATCAAAACAAAGCTTTTATATGTAAATATAGCATCATTTATAACAATAATTTTTCCATAATTCAAATAATAAATGCATCAAACCTTAAAATTTAATTATAGTTCTATTAATAAATTATAAAGTTTACAGTATAAATTCAAAATATTATATTTATTATTATTCAAATTTTACATAAGAGTAATTTATTAATTATAACTGTACTTATTCTGTTAATTAATACATATTTGCAACATTATGTTTAACATTAAAAACAATAAAATAGATTAATTAAAACTTTTAAATGTGTTCAAAATTGGAATTTGAAGGTAAATTTAGAATTTATATCCAAATTTTAAATTTAAAGGAAACAAATACTAAAAAAATACTAAATTGTCTGAATTAAACAGTTTTGTTTTAAAAACAAAATATGTATTTCAAACTTTGAAATGATATTCTCATAATAATTTTTTATTATTACATTTACTATTGTGTAATTATAATTATACGAATATTTTTTTATTTTATGAATGATGGTTTAAAATTATATTTAAACAAAAATGATTATATGGATTCATTGATGCTATATCAAAAAAATTTTTTTTTGATTTCCTTATATAATTTTATTTCATGAGCAAATTTTAAATATATGCAATTAATTTTGAATTAGCTAAACAATAAGATGACAAAACGGAAATATTTAAACATAAAATAAAAATTCACACACATGCAAAGAAAATGGCTTATTATAATTAAAGCTAAATTTTATAAGCTACATAAACATTATAAAAATTAAATTTGTATTTAATAAAAAGAAAAAAAAACAATCAGGCAATCCAAAAATTGTACCTACATGTAATGATGGATTATTTCTGAACCACGATCTGAATAGTATCGCCTAAATAAAAGAAATAAGAAATCTGCAAATGAACAAAGTCAAATCTGCTTTGCTCCTTACACTATTATCTGGTGCAATCATCATTCAACTACTAATAACAAATTGAAATGAACTAAAGGCAGCAAATTAATTTTTGTACTGCAAATATATGATAAAATATAATACTACTTAATCTATACTTTGCAAACTGCAGCATTCCAACTACCAAATTAATTTTCATAAATTTTATATAATGAATAAAAGATCTTTATGAAATAAAGCTTTCTACTTTTAGCAAACATTGTGCAAAAAATCATCAGCTTAATAAAATCATAATATATGATGTTTAGCAAGTGCACTATAATGTTTAGATATGCATCAATTTTTTCATCTTAAATTTGAAAAAACATTAAAATCAATTACTGTTTATTACATTTATTTTTATTTACATATAGTAAACACTCATTTTCTCTGATATTACTAAAATCTTTCTTAGAAATCTTTTAAAATATTTATATAAAAATAATTTATTTATGTATATTATAATTCATAAATGTTTATCCATATATTTTCAACAACATTACAGAAAAAATTATTATAAAAATAAAGAATACTTTAAAATATTGAAAATAATAATCCCATTGTACATTAACACTTTAAACTAAAAAGCTAACTTGTAACAAGCATTATTTCATTCTAAAATCATATATTGATTTTAAAATAACTAGATTTTCTTTAAAAAAAAATATGCTATGTATATATACATATACTGCATTGAATATATTTAATTAAATAACAACAATGACAGATATGTAATCTAAAGTAATGTAAACATTAAAAAAACTTTGAGATTACTACAAAGCTTTATTTCAATAGTAGGGACTACTGTTTTATGTTTTATTTTCATCAGATTAAATAATAAAAAAAAGCAGCAAAAGAAAAAATTTAGCATTAATTCTTACCTGAACAATTTTAATGATGTTTACTACAATTTATGAGAACATCAAATTATTTATTATAGATAGGAAAGAAACATTTTAGTTTTAAATTCAATGTCCATCTTAAATAATAAAACTCTTCAAAATGATAATAGAAGAGCAAACTGAATTTTAAACTTAAAATATTAACTTATTTATTAAATATATATATAATTATAT